CTCGAAAACCTACTTACAGACGAAAGAGAGTAGAGAAAGCTTTGGACAGATTTCCCATTTGCCCGACCGATTCCTGTGTCTGCACACCAAAGTTCACGAGGCAAGTTAACATAAACTGCTTAGTCAAAGGTATGAAGACCAAGATGGTGTGACCTTTTGTGTGTTCACAGTCTCCTTTCGTTATATAGAAGTTGTTTGACCTTGTTTTCGCAACTCGGTCATATTGGCAGGAAGACTTAGAGGAACGCACCTAGTCCGGAGTCCATTGTATGCATCATCATTTCCAAAATGGTCACATTGGTAGGAAGACTTATTGGAACGCACCTAGTCCGGGGTCCATTGTCTGCATGATCATTTCCAAAGTCGGACCGTGCGCTTTCCCAGACGTTTCGCCGGCATCGTCAGTGAGTCTCGCCATTCTTAGCACCATACAACAACTCGTCAAAGAGACCCCAAGACGTTTCGCCGGCATCGTCAATGAGTTTTACCATTCGTAGCATTATATTACAACTCGTCAAAGAGACAGACGTTTCGCCGGCATCGTCAGTGAGTCTCGCCATTCGCAGCACCATATTACAACTAGTCAAAGAGACAAGTGGACGTTTCGCCAGCATCGTAGTCGGCATCGTCAGTGAGTCTCGCCATTCTTAGCACCACACAATAACTCGTCAAAGAGACAATATTTCGCCGGCATCGTAGTCGGCATCGTCAGTGAGTCTCGCCATTCGTAGCACCATATTACAACTCGCTCTTGAGACAAAAGACTTGTCTCTTTGACGAGGTGTTGTGTGGTGCTAAGAATGGCGAGACTCACTGACGATGCCGGCGAAACGCTCGGTAATGTACCACATTCATGGTCCTACTGTGGAAATGATGATGCATACGATGGACTCTGGAGTAGGTGAGTTCCTTCTACCAATATGACCGAGTTGCGAAAACAAGGTCAAACAACTTCTAGAATATGGTTAGTTTCCATTCTTATCTGAAAGAAAGCACAAATCAGCCTGAACGGAAACAGGAGCCTGTTGGTTTGCGCCAAGAAAAGATTAGTTCATTTAGTGTGCTTTAAGGAGTGATATACAGACTGACTCTTA